TTTACGACGATTACATGACATACTATCTTTTAAATTATGCTTTGACTTTATTCTTACTAGAACTAAAACTTATTAATTGGTTAATCACACATAAACAAATTAACAACGATTGCTATCATGCGCGAATCGTTTCATCGTGTGAATATGTGTTTACATTCTCCGAGTTAATCGCACGTCATAAATCTCGATTAAAGTTTTAGAACTTTCTAGAAGAGTTCCTTAAATAAAGCCGATTCACTCGACGAAATCATTAAAATTTTTAGTCACATACGCCATACGACATTTTTTGGTTCCCGAGCGTATTTTTTTTTGTCACTGACATTGATTTCAAGTAATTATCTCGTGCCAATTCGCTAAAGATAACGATAGCATTGGCAAAATGCTAAACTATTGCGTCAGGTTTTTTTATTATAGACGACGCGACGTTACTGGGGAAAAACGCAAATTAACTAATAATTATTTAGATTATTAGCATTTAATTGCGAATTTATGTCGACTTTAAGATGTTGCACTTGTAAGCACAGATAAAGATACTAAATATGGAATATACAAATACATATGAGATCTTGACATAAAACTTATCATTGTTGCTGTACCTATAGCCTTTCTTCTGTTCATACCTCTGACGTCATTGTCAAATGTCATATTGAAATGTCAAATTCTGACAAATTTGAAATTAACCTACTATTTATGAGAGGATTTAATTGAAAGAAAAATGTTTAAAATAATGTAAACAATAAATTATTCCGCTCCGAAAAGGCGCCATTAATCAAGACACGATCAAATAAAGAGACATCATACTTAGTTATCTTAAGGCGCTCGTAAATCAACTTCAAAGACTTGTTAAAAACACTTTATTTATTTTACTATTATATTAAAAAGACAGAATCTAAGTATACGTAACATAATAAAAGTATACATTTGTTTCAGCATTTATATTAGAAAATACATACATACATACGTTTATGTCTAATTTCATATGGATTAGAAAACAAATTTACTGTATATATATGACCATGTATATTATACAATGTGCTGATACGTGCCTAAAAAAAAGAAAGATCTATAAATCACGAAATACTATTTTTATGGCAAAAGCAATTTTTTATGACCAAGGAATTATCTAATCGGATAGATTTAAACTTTTAAGTCATTAGTGAACAATAAAAAACTTTCTTAACATATCTTTTTGTTTTGAAATCTAAAGAAAATAACTGTAGAAGTAAATGAATCTAAGATTATCGGAATACTACGCGTTGTTTATGTCTATGATAACATAATTCCGACGTTTGAGTTACTTTGCAGTAATAGTGATCACGGAGAGTCGAGATGAAAATGTCTCATATAGATTATGTGGTCATAAAACAATAAAAAACGTGTATACGAAAACGTTTGTTTCATTTAAATGATTACGCGCGAATATTTTACATATAATTAATTCTAGAAGCATAAGAAAAAACCAATGATCTTTTTTAAATTGTAGCCAGTACAATAAAATTACAACAGTTCTCAAAAAATTATAATATTTTGATAAAAAGGACAACGTTACTTCGTTCGTTTGCTTATTTTACATGGCAACACAATGTTTTGCTTTTAATAGAGCTAAATTTGTTTTAACTTCATCGTCTGACTGAATCGGTAGAAGTTGTTTTATTTTAAATCTTTTTTATGCTATGGCTTCATTCGTACTGGAATCGTGGAATATTTTGCAATATCAAATATCATAAGTCTTTTAGTAATTTCTGTCAACGTCGCATTGACAGCTCTATAGCTGAAATTACGTTCGGAAAGAAAAACGTGATTTTTATATCCTAATTGTGTTAAATTCTTTTTGGTGCGCATGAAGCCATAGTAAAATAAAAATTATTTGACTGCAATAAAGTTATAAAACATTAAAAATTATTCATCTGCTCACTTTATACAGTGTCTTTGAAGTTTGATTAGTTTAGTATTCTTTTCTATTAAAATTCATTGAATTTCTTTACCTTATTCAGATATCTTTAGTTAGTAACTATTTTATCATAATTTTTCCACTATTCAAATCGTCCGAACCCGCTGTTAGTTCTATTGTCATTTCTTATCCGGCTAACAAATTTATCGAGTATTCGACGCGTGTACATTACTCATAGCTAATAAAATTGTATAAAATGACATCGGTTTTCCTCGTGTCAAATACGTGATCATTGGTATTGCATGATAGGTATTTATTATTAATTATAATCATTTGAAGCCTCAATTTATTATTGAACAGTTTAAAACTTTACGTTAGAATGTTCATAATAACCTAACTATTCACATAAAACCGATTAAGAAGTTACCGAATTTTGTTCACTGATTTGTGTTTCAATTTTATGAGAAGTAAAAAGGTCTTAATTTTTTTTTCCAGATGATTTCATCACTTAATTATGACATCCAACTATCTTTACCATATGTTGATTGTAGACGTAAATACATATAATATTTCAAAAAATTCAAGATCAAAATCATCTTCTACAATATTTCCAGCGAATGAGATAGATAGAGAGAAGGTATTCTATGAAATTGTTGGTATAAAAAATAAAAGGTTCACAGTCTGTACATCAAAAGATGTCACTAAAATTAAAATAATTAAAGAGCAAAGCAATTAGTACATAAGAGTCGATGGAATTATCCTGCGTTTGAATTATTTGTATTTATATGACACATTGGGAAATGATCATAAAATTTTAATGTTGATTATTATTCAAGAGGCGATTGATCTTATCTATATCAAACATAGTTAGTTACCTGTAGTTTTTTTAACGTGATACAGAATCTTCGAGAAAAATCCCGAGAATTATGTTGTAATTACATCTCATACCATAGATTATATCACATATGGTTTATCTGCATACTTTAAGTAATATAGTTTAATAAGAAAAAAATTGATAAAAACTCTTTTTCATTGTAAAACTGATTTTTCTTTGTGTCTACACACATTAAAGGAAAATTAATCAGAAATATGTATTTCATAATTTTCGATTTGTTGCTAATGTCTAGCCATTGTTAACGAATACATGTTTTCAGATGAATACAAGCGTACGAGAAACCTTTTCTATTATTTAACCAAAGTATACGATACGAAAACTTTGAATAAATTCTGTATTACGAAGTACATTCTAGAGTGTAGGATATTGTAGTTTATAACCAATACAACTAGAATTTACAACAATGATACGCGAAATTATGTTCAAGCAAATCTAATTCTTACATTTCGAAAATTATCCATATATTTGAAGTCGGATAAAAAAACTAACATAACTTGTCCAAGAACAACCTAAGTATTTTAGGTTTCCTTTTTGTCTAATTTTCGTCCTTTAAAGTGCAATGTCAGATGTCCTTCATATTTTAGAAGCAGTATTACAACCATGATTAGTTAAGGATATATCAAAAAGGTCTTATGTTAACATAAAATGTAAAATTCCTGATTCAAAGTATAATAAAATGGTTTTGATGTATTTAATTTTACTAACCACATTATTTGTTTAATGTATTTCCATGAACCTTAAACATACTTCGATATAACAAAACTTATTAACACAATTTGATAGTTTCAAGGCGGACAGCTAAAGGTAATTTCCTCGAGCAAATAAAGGTTACCAGATTTTATTCATTGATGAAAATATGGCATATGATAGACTCAGTGTGACTATTAGTTTGCTAGCCCGGTGATTAAAGGACCACGTGTTCTTTGTAGGACATTGTCCGGGTGACAACCCAATTGGGGTCAAGTACCGTTCGTTTTGGTTCACCGATTAAAAAGAGAGAAATTATATCGACATTGTAAAGCATAAAGTTTAATTGTCATTGTATCAAGATCATACTACTTAATTAGCTAATATTGAAGTCAATTACATGTCGCAGGAGTGAAATCGGACTTAGAAAGTTGGTAGAGATGTTATATGACTAGCAGTTTTAAAGAACAATATCACAAGCAGACATTGAAAAGTCACATCAAACCATACTTTCGTTAAACACTAGACATAGTTAAGATATAAGAAAGTTGTGCAATAATTCCTCTACTATTATTGAAAATATACAAAATAAACTTACGTTTGCATTTATTTTTCCCCTCGTATTTCAGCTGGCTTACAATGTGGAGATCACACCAAGGCGACTACATTTGAATTAACACTTTTAAAGGGCTTTCGTGGCGAATTACAATGAGCCCCGAGAAACACGACCGCACACGGTTACATCGAAATCACGATTGTCGATCAGTTCGTGGATTCACGACACAGTCGCGGGCGCACGACGATGACGCTTATAGATTATCCATTGCGTATGACAAAAAAAATTGAGTTTTAACTTAAATACATGACTTATTTCAGAAGACGCTGAAATATTTAAAATAAAGTTTGAAATGATAAATTATGAAAAATATGAAATTTTCTATATTTCATTGAACTGTTAGTGATGATAAGTTCTAATGAAAAGATCGATAAGTATTCTTTACTCTATACAGATCGCTTATTGAGTTTTGTTATAAAATCTTCTGTCAACGCCATCTAGTACAAGTTAATAGCATTTTTTAAACAGGTTGAATATAAGTGCTCTATTACACCAGTAAGTTTTGTTAAAATCCGTTAGATGTCGTTTTGTAACATTAATATAATAATATAATGAAGTTATAATAATGAATAATATATTTATTAATTTAACTACCGATGCTTAAATCTACAATACTATACAAATATTTATATAAATATATTTTTGTTAGATTATTAGTTTACCTTTTTATTAATGACAATAATTGCATTTAGCCATCGTGGAAATGTACTAGAAAATATAATTGTCTCATATTTCACAGCTTCGGCTTTAACAAAAACGAAGGTTGTTGAGTAGTATAATTAAAATTATTTTTGAGGGTAGTAAGATATTTTCTAGTATCGACGCAAATATATATGAAATATTGAATTAGTAACAACGCAGGCTTTTGTTGTTAACGAGTTATTAGAAGTTTCATTTGTTTTCAAATAATTATGGATGTTACACCAATTCGCAACGATTCTTATGGCGAAGGACGTCTATTTCAAGAAATATTACCATACAATTCAATTCCAGTAAGTACTAAGTTATTTTGAACAATGACATTTATTTAAAATCCTTTTTAGTTTTGTTTAAACACTTTTCAAATTTCGTTTTTGCATTTATATCTCTTCACCAATACTATAAGTATACTATTTTTTCTTCTAGATGCACTTCCTATGGTTGTAAAAGAATAAAATTGTACAGAATATAAAATAATAAAGTCGTTTTTAATACGATTTATACAAAAAGAAGTTTACGTACAAAAATAATGCTTTAAGAAAAAAAGATAAATTTACATGAAAAAGATGTACCTAGTCGATAACAAAATTTTTGAATAATAATTATGAAAAAACAATATGATATTTAATTAATGCAAATTTTAAACTTTAAGGACATTTAAAATAGATAATCATTATTGTATATATAATTGTATAGTTGTAATATGTATAATACGTAATGCAGACATTTAATGTCATCATTATGCAACCGATTCTATTTGTATATCATTTCGTACGTAAATAATATTTATTTGTTTACAGATACATACTACGAAGCATTTTTAATGTTGACATATTTTAAATGAATCAACGTATATGCCGACATAAATAATTATCTGTTCTGTTTTTATATTAATTAATATTTTTTTCTTTTTTAATATTTAATTTTATATAACTCGTATTACAGAAAGAAAAATCAGTATCGAAATTACTTCTCAATGGAAAATCTAAAAGGGAGTCAGGTAAATTATCTTTAATATTAATTTTTTTATTTTTATTGTATTAAAAAAATTTACTGTAAAATATTATAAATCCTTACATAATAAATTGAATTCAGGATTTTCCTTAAAAGAATCTGTAATTTTTGTGTTTGTTTTTCATTTGTAAACGTACCTAGAGTCCGTATTTGAGTACATCGAAGATACTATTGTATTTAATAAAGTTATTTTAGGTCTTTAGTTTAATATATATACTCTTTCGTCTAAAGGAAGTCATAATAATGATAATTAACACGTTATTTTAAATAAATTTAACACATTATTTGATCCATTTACATTTTTATTTAATGATATTTTTATGTATAATGTCGTCTGAAGTATTCGTAAAATGAGATTGAAATAATAACCACTTGTATAAAATATCTGTGGGATGTAAGGAAACTTTGTAATTATTGTGTTTTCAAGCTTCTAGACTGGAATAACTTATGTTTAAGATACATTTTTTTATATTATATATTGATTAACAATATCTTGTATTATTATAGATGCGTTGCTCGCTGTCAAAATTGACCCGGCAGTGTTAGAGGCACAGGTGACCATAGATACTAGATATGATTGTAGGAAAAGCGAAACAGGCAAGAGAAATACTGTACAGCCGACTAAAGACAAAGGTAATAAAATAATGCATACACATATATGTATATGTGTATAAATTTTGCATTAATATAAATAAGATTATTATTTAATACGCCTGTTTTATATTTTGAGTACTTATCGATCGACAGAATTTTTTTGTTTTCAAAGAAGATTATAATTTATAATTTTAAACCTAGGAATGAATATTTTAGGGTAAAAATAATTCTGGAGGAACGTAATACTACAAAAATGTTTGACCAAATTAAGCTTTTCACTATAATTGAAAATATAATCTTTTACGATTTTATTCTCAAAAAAACTGATATAACACGTGTAAAGAATTAAATTTGAATTAAAAGTTTTTCAGAGTAAAGATCTTAAAAGAGGCAGTCTGTTTAAATCGTTAAAAATTGATCAATTATGATTCATATGAAAATAGCATTTCCCCTAAATGTTGAGACCATTTATAATAAAAAAAATTGTTCAACTAATATATCAATCATGCTTATAAAACATTAATATATTTCTTCAAATCTTTACAAACCTTTTTGGTCATACTCTGGCTGAAAGGAAATTAATTATTCTAACCTTAGCCGACTTACTAATGAATATGTATTATCAAGGATGGACTATTTATTTATAGATGGAGAATCTCGTCGCCTTGATTTCGAGAAGGCCGTTCGTTTGCAACGCGCTGCCCTTATGTCCTTGTCGGGTCAACAGATGAACCTTCTAATGAGATATGTTGAAACCTTACGGGAACAACGGAATTCAATACAAAAACAATTGGTCAGTATCATCATTTTTAATCTGTACAGCTTGTATACATTTTTAAATCTACATAATCTGTGACTATACAGATGTTGAATAAAAATGGCGGTAAAAATTAATTGTAATGTTATAAGAAATCAATGATTTAGAGTTATTTTTCGAAATAAAGTCTTTTCATATACGTTATATTAAAAAAAGCGACAATTCTTAGGTTTGTTTATTACGAGTCGTTATGAGTGGAATATTTTGTTAATGTTCATTTCATATCGTTAGTGTTGGCGAGTTGCCCATTGAATTGTTTGTATTAGAAACTGCAGTGAATTCGGATGAGGAAAGGATCAATGCAACAATGTATTTGCTTAGAAGTCACAACTATTTGCACATTTACTTTGTAGGTTTCCTATAAAGCTTTCGTATTTGTAACATTCAGTATTCTTTTATTTTTGATATATCTATCAAAATTTGATATAAATCTTATGTAAACATAATTTGTAAACTATTTAAAAGAACAGGATTTATTTACAAAGAAAGACACCGTCGGTAAATACAATTCCTTTCCTTATATAAATACTTCTATTAATTGTGTTCGTTATTTCACAAATTGTAAGTTTAAATATTGAATTTATTAAAGAGAATTCTATAAGCAGACAACATAGTATCTTTTATTAAATATTGTATATACATATGAAATAATTATATAGTCACGTTTAAATAAATAACCAAATTAATTTCCAAAAGGTTATGTGATAAGGAAGATTCACAAATGAAAAAATTTCCGTTAGGGTAAAAACCTTACGTTAATATTCCAATGTATTTTATTATTAAAATAATTTAAGGCGTGTCCACGTGTACTTTCAAGACTCTATTCTGTTTATTAAAATTTAGTCTTATAGAAATTAACGACTTTATAAACACCAGTCAGTTAGATTTATAATTGCTTACGAATAATCAATTATTTGATACACTTGGATATGATTATTATATTACAAAAAAAAAACAGTTTATTCCTTCCTTTGAACACGAAATTCCTTTAACATATTTTTTTTAAGCCATAAACCATTTCATGGCCTTGATTTTATTTATTTTTTCAATCCTTTCTCACTAGGAATGTGCATTCTGTAAAACCAACGGCCATCCTGAATTATGGTACACAACACACGCACTCAAAGACGGCAAAGGTCGCGTGCGATGCCCGGTACTGAGAGCTTACTCCTGCCCCCGCTGTGGCGCCACTGGCGATAACGCTCACACAATCAAGTACTGCCCGAACAAATAGGTACGTATATATTGTTAAATGCACTTATGTTATTCGTATTTTTAAGTCATTAATATATTTGAGACCAAATTTATATTTATAACAATTTTTGCCCGCGACTTCGTCAGCGTTAATTTTGGTATTAGTAATTTATGTATAGTCCTATAGGCCGTAAATAACCAGATATTGGAATTTATTAAATTTTTCAATCGAACAGAATTAAATATCCTATGTCCGTCTTCTGGTTTTAAGCTATCTTCCTACCAATTTCCAACTATATACCCAACATCCGTTCTTGAGTTATAAATAGTGTAACTAACACAACTTTCTTTTATATATACGGATAACATGATTTTCATTACGTAAATAGACATTTAAATCTGAGCATAGACAATGGACAGGGTAATAAATTAAAAATCCTTTTATATGCGAATATATTACATAAATAATCAAAACAAACCTGTTAATATTTAAGACCGAAAGTTCTTTCAAAAACTTAGCCATAGTTTGAATTCTCACTACATACGAAACGTTTTCTGTTTCTAATTCAATGTTTATTGAATAACTATAATGGGCGAAGGTTTATGAATTAAAAACTGTTAACGCTCCGTGTATAGTGAAGATGCCAACTCGGACTAAGCATACAAATGTTCTTCAACATTATCTTTACTTAATAAATTTTCCTTCATTCTCAGTAAAAGTTCTTTGGGAAATGACAGCTGTCAAGTTAGTATTGATTTAAAACTAACTTTATTATTGTTTCTTAATATTATTTCTGTTCTTGTTATTGTAACGAAGAGTTTTATTACGTTATACAAAAGATATTTTTTTTATTATTTAAATTAATTTTTATTATTTTTAATATATCTATATTGGCCGTATGCATCATTTATGAAAAAATATTTATTGTATTGACTAATTAAACGTTCAGTAACAAATAAGTTAAAGATAATTGTGGAACCCTATAATTAATTATAAAATTATTCCACAAATTATAAATAATTTGCAAAATAATTTTGCTTTATTATTTTTATAACTAATATGTATGATAATTGATTTATGATTGATATTGACAAATAATTTCAGGTACTCGAAATATATTTGAACAGAACAAAGACTACTTTAAAAGTACTCCAAGACATACTACGAGTATAATAAAGGTTTTCTTTATTATTTAGTGTTATATTTTAAAGTCCTGTTTAATAATTCATATAAACTTGTTCTTAAACATAATTAATTTACTTCGAGATATATTTTTGTGTCTAATTGAAAATCTCAAACAGAATTATCTTATAGATTCGTATGAACGGATTTTTAAAAAAATGTTGCCAGCCGCTAATAAAATTAGACAAGTGTAGTGAACCTAATTCCGAGTCGAACATTTTTTTAATAGTAACACTATTCTGTTACATTTGCAACTTATTGTTAATTAAGAATTTATAAATTATCAGGTACATGAGAAAACATTATACACACAGTACTTATATTGTGTTGTTAATAAATTTTATTCTTTTATGTATACCTTTCTGATAAAAATCAACTAGCGTTTGATTTCCAATTTCTTCAATCGGATTTACCGTGAAGAAACAAACACACACACACAGGTACACCTACACACACACACACACACATATACACCTACACACGTACACACACATGCAACATACAAATACAGCAGCTTCATACACTATACTACTTTTTTCCTTCCTTTCCCTTCTTTTCTTAATCTAATTCAATTAACTGGTTAACCCTTCAATGGTAACAGAGGTCATCAACTATTCATTGCTTTAAATTCAAGTTATCAAATATATCATTTTATAATTAATATCTAATTAAAAATTTAAAACAATATTCAGCTATTAAAGTTTTAAAGCTCTAAAATTTAAAAGGGAGCCTGAGAATACAACAATTAAAATTACTATAGGTACTTAATGCATCTACTGTTACTCGTCATTTTAGTTATTAAGATCATTTTAAATCTCAAATTATTATGGTTATTTTGCTTAATTCTAAATATATTTAATGATTCATTCATGCATTCATTCATTATTGATTAAAATATGATCACGAAACTTCTCAACATTCCATGGATTCACCGTGCGGGTGCCGGGACTAAATCTTGCCGGGTCGGTGCGTGGGACTTGCGACTCAGGTGTAGGTTTATTCTCTATACAAAAATACGCAAATTATTAATGAGTATCTCCTTCTCTTAGTAAGTAAATGATATAATATCTCTTATATATGTATTATTGAGACTTATTACAGAAATTGTAAGTTTAAATAAAAATATTATCGTTCTTCTTACAACCGATTTTTATCGTTTTTATAGTAAGTGATTACGTCACAGAGTCTTATCAAATCAATCGTCTACGTTAGAGAATGCGTCATGTGATTTGATGCAGTTAAACAATTTACGGTTTTTGTTTTCAATATATAAAACTAGTCGATAATAATACCACACAGTTTGAGGCTGTATATACGTTTATTTAAATTAAAACAATCCTTACTGAACGAATTTTTAATGTCACTTCAATAATCTTGTTGTACATATAAAATAGTAAAACATAGTAGAAGTGACAATTGATAAATTGTTATTTTGAATCTATAATTAAATTTGATAATATCAAAAGAAATGTGCGTAACATAAGGTCTAAACATTTAGAAGATTTATTTAATTGGTTTAAATATTTAAAAATCATGAATATTATCTGTTATTAAAGTTCCAAGTAAAACGTGTAAAATACCAGTAGAAAAAGGCATTTCACAAACAGGTATAATGGAAATAGTAATAATATATCGAATAAATATTTCATATATTAACAATGGCGAATGCGGTTGCATTTCTAGTAAAGTCAATTGTACTTGAGCTATAAAAATCCCCAACATGAGCAAAGCTATTTTAAGATACTTATATTTTTAAACGTCTCATCAAAAAGGGTATATCCCGGACATAGCACGTGTATTCTCGTTGATAATAGAAAGTAAAAATAAAGACAAGAATATTTATTTGACCTTCGTTAGAAATTATCCACTTTTTATACCAAGCTATGTCAGATCAACATACCACGAAATACACAATAGAGGACAAATTGATACAAATTCGTGATTCTTAAAACATAGAAATAAGCAGTCTCGAATTAGAAACACGGCTTGTGTAGGACGAATCAATGTAGTACCTACACAATTACTTTGACATTATACCAATATGAGATTACCGACACGTGCACAGAAAGCATTAATCGAGAATGAAACAGATTAATGAAATATTTAGACATTATACATATATCTTTTGTATTGAAAAATATACCAATGCTGTATATATTTGATTAAAATATAGTTTGTATAGAGTCATATGTGAAATGTAATTTCTTTTTGAGAAAATAAAGTATCTTTAACCATATGTATAACAATATCTGAACTTATTCTTCCTCTACAGTCTACACAATTGAAAACAAAATTATTTAAATGCCTTCGTATTGGAACTTTTCCTTCTGTTAATAGATGTAGGCTTGTTATCTTCTTCTTCTATATACATATATAAAAATGGATTGCTGTTCCTTAGTCTCACTAAAACTCGAGAACAGCTGAACGGATTTATCTTATCTTAGTCTTGAAATGTTCGTGGAGGTTCAGGGAAGGTATAAAAGCTGAAAAAAAATTATTCATTACTAGGAAAACCATAAAAACAGCCCTATTCTATTTTGCATACAAACGTTTTTTTTTGACATTAGATTTGACAACTAACTAATATGTCAATCATTCTGTCGCACTTCAAAACACGGAGATTTATAGCTTACAGGGAAACTCCAAAAATATAAATAAAAAAACGTAATAGATATTTCTTGATTATAGGGCGATACGGAAGTCGCCAGGTCTTCTAGTCATATATAAAAGTCGATATCAGAAATTTGTTATATTTAATGCCCTACGTATATTTATACTTCAAACATTTAAATCTTATTTTTTTTATAGAATTACGTGTAAAACTACTAACACCATAAGGGATGATGTTGGTAAAAAAATAGCTTATTATCAAAAAAATGTAACGGAGACATGTGACAAAGGTTCTATTCTTGGAATTTCTTTTTAGATGTAATAGTAGTTTTTCATAATCTTTTCCATGAACGTAGACTATGTATTAATATACCTTTAAACCAAATTTTACCATTTGGAGATAAAAGTCTAGAGCATTATAATTTTAATCGAAACCGGACATAAATTTAATGAAATAAAAATTCAAATAAATTTATTAATAAATTACATATCATGAGCAGTTTCTTTTAATTTATTAATATATGTGATTATAATCGTAAAAGAAATATTTTTGGATTTTTCTATTAATCGTCACGTGTAACAATATAAATAAAATTTTATAACTGGGTGTTAATAACTTAAAATCTGATCTCAAAAATTATAATTCAAAGATAATTTCACACTATGGAAGAGACGATAATTGAAATAGCCGAAAAGTATGTGATTAGCAAAGCAAGTTACAGGCGTGGATTCTGTATTTTTAAAATGACGATAGTTGATATTAAATAGAATTAATATTTTACTTTACAACACCTTTCTTTATTATTTTAAGTACATTCTCCTGGCTTTTCGTCTATTTTGCAGCAACCGTGACCACGGACAGACGAGATGTCAGATCTCGTAGACGAAAAACGTGGAGTACCTACTTACTTATCTCGTAAATGTTAGTTTTATTTAAAAGAAAATTAGCAAAAGTCTTGATCTCATTGTTGATGTTTTCGTTGCATATATTTTAAACAACAAATTGAATTAATCCAATAATAACAGATTTTGTTCTCAAAATAGTGAAAATGATATTTTGGAATTTAGTTCACACGGTTTATAATACATTTAAATACATAAGCTGTCTGATTTAAGTATCTCTAATATTCTTTTAACTGATTCATTTAGACTCATCTCCCCAATAGTCTCGATGGCATTTGTATGCTAATAATATTAAATAGCTTCCTAGATTTAGTTGTAAGTTGTTCACCTTATATAAAAGGTCA